GGAGCTTCCGCTCAGACGGGGATGTCCCCACGCAAGGATACACGGGGACGCCGCCAAGGTGCTCGCGGAGAACCCCTCGCTTCATATCCAGTTCAGTTGCCGTGGTTGTCGCCCTGGTCCCTATTGGTATTCAAAGCGCTGCGAGACATGCGCGCAAGGCTGCCATCGGGAGGTAAAGTGGGGAGAGGCGACAAGGATGGGCCTCTTCTCGCATGACCCTGCCAACTGTCCCTCGCCGGCGGACCACACTGCCTTCACCAACCGGGACAGGTTCTTACACGGCGGTAAAAACGTCGCGTGCACGTGGCTACACGTGTAATGTATTCGAGCTTGATTGTGGATGCTTCAAACTTTTAGTTTGCCTTTGTCAGGCGTGTTTAATAGGGCAATATCTTTATTTGTGCAATGTGCTCACTGTGAAAAAAATTCTGAAAATTCAGTAGATGTTTTTCAGAATCGGCACTCTGAATCTTGTTTTCAGACCACTACTCAAAATTTTCTAAGTTTAGACTGAAAATCCAGACTTTTTACTCTGAATCCGGTTTTCAGAGCAATTTGTCTGAATATTTTAAAGTATATTTTCAGACTAAACACTGAATCTATAATTCAGAGTTACCGGTATGAATTTTGAGTGGAAAGTCCACCGGACAGGCGGACGAAGCACACCAGTAGCCGACGCTGCTCCCCACGCAGGTAGCCGGCAGCCGAATGGTTAAGGTTGCGGCTTCCGAACCTGAAGGTTGGCGGTTCGATTCCAACCAAGGGCAGTACCGAATGGACAGAAATGTCTTCACCTGGGCATTGCCCTCTACCCCCACAACTGTTAAGTCGCTCGGTTTTTTGTACATTTTTAACATTTTCAAAAAAAAAAAAATTCAAACCAGCTGTCTGCATTTTCAGACTAAGTGGTATGGTAAGGCACTACTGAAATTTCAGACCCGGGTGCAGTCTGAATTTTCAGACTACTGGTCTGTAAAAAAACTTCAGACTAAAAGTATTGAAAATTCAGTAAAACTTTTTTTACAGTGCTTATATGGTTTCTGAAACGCTCAATAAATGATAAATCATTAGTTCTGATATGTCTACTTACTCGTTCCCTGTCCCGACGCGCCGCCGCCTACACCACGAGGCCGCCAACAACCATCACTTGCACAACTGTGGCTTCTAGCTTCAACCCGCCGCCCCCTCAGCTCAGCGTTGTGTCCTTCAACATTACATTACAACCAACCGAGGAGAAGCTCCACAGAGCGCTGTAAATCCGAATCTACTGAGTTATTTAGGGGCGTCAAAGTTTATTTCCAGTGCTTGTGTGTGTGTTTCGGGAGGGGGGGGGGGGGTACATAGTCGTGCTGCTGCCAAACACCATGTTAGGCCTCCCAGTTCGGCCCTCGCCCTCGCTCGGCTTGGTCTCAGTGACAGTGCACCTCGGGTCCTAGTGAGGTTCGCAGGTCCAGGTCTAGAAAGAGCATCACTCCAGTCATGGACGGCACGGCCCCGGCCCTGGCGCTCCTAAAGATGACGTTGGGTAGGAAATATCCCCATGCCTGGATACGGCCATTTCTCCAGCCCCCCC